AAGGTCACTTTCTTTTAAAATACAGGCATTCTTTGCAGAATATCTCACTGGTTACCGGCTTCCTAGAGGAATACCTCTCTTGATTTTTAATATCCAGCATTAAAGAATGTATTATATCACTATACAACTTTTTTCCTTTGGCCAGTGTATATTTATATTTATGTCCTCAATTTTAATTCAGTTATTCCTTGATATTTGAGGGATTTATTTCAGTTAAGGAATTTTCCTTATATTTCATAGTGGTGAAGTAGTTGTTTGGTAGTCAGTGGCGGGGGCATGATTCTAGACTTAACTGGTATAGACTTTGAAGCCAGTATCAGAATCAGTGGAAAGATTTGATAGGATTCAAAAACAAGACGAAGGCTCTAAGAGCTTTCTCATTTTTCCTCTGTTCCTCTAAACATATTCACAAAAGATTCTATAGTGAAAACAATAATTCAGGTATTCCAGGGGCTTATGTTTGTAGACAGTAGAATATCAGTCTTTCTGAAAGTTGCTTTTGATGGAAGACCTAACTTTAACTTTTTCAGGTTAAATTATTTTTGGGGGCTTTACCCTCATTGTTTCTGCCTGCAACCACATAAATGATTTTGAACTTTTAGGTCTATTCACTGAAAACAATGGAATATACCACCTAAATTAATATTTTATTATGAAAATAAGCTGTTGTTTTAGCTACCAGAATAAATTAATTATAATTAATCAGCCATATTTGCCAGTGCCTTGATGAAAAGATATCTCTTTCAGAATTATCTGTTTATAGTACTGCTTATCACTCAGCAACCCAGAAGTCCCTATTATTAACTTGGTAATTGAGGTTCTTGACTGAAATCTTTACATCGCTCTTCCCTTGAGATACCTAATAAGTTAAGGAATTAAAGCATGCTGTGGGAAATGCAAAATGCATTGATCATTTGAACAGACCCAGAATGAATTTTCTTTATTCCTTTTCCCATGGCCCAGTAGCTCATGTTTACAAGCTAATATGAAAGTTCCAGTGCTTTAAAGTAGTTTTGATGGGAGATTTTGGCTTATTCTAGTAATATGTTTAACCTGTTTAAAAATAGTAATTGTCTTTTTTTAATTATTTTCTGTTCTCTTTTACTTATATCACTTCTTCTGAAGCTCAAATTTGGTGAGTTTGCACTGTTAAATATTAGCCTCATTCAGAGCCTGAGAAAATAGTGGATAATATTCAGTGAAACTTTACACAATCCATTTAACTGCTGTGGCACCAGTGCCATTAACTGTAAATGAATATGTTGTAGATGACTCCGTAGAGCTGTTCTGAAATTGGGAGTGAGGTAATACGGAGAGGGGTGACTTTCAACTACATTCTCCTGCATTTCATATAAGGCATGATATTGCTAATAGGTGTGTATCATGTGTGGTCTGAAAGTAGAGAAATGAAAGGTCAGAATTCTTTTTTCAGTTCCTTATTGCTTTAACCATTTATGATTGCAAATTGATAATCTTTCTATGCTTTTTCATGTCAACAAAACCAAATGACTTGATTTTTTACAAAACTCAGGTCTAATTTGATCATATCTATTACTGAAGAAAGAAGTAAAAAAAAAAAACCTCGCAGTGATAAAATTGAAATCAGTCAAGAATCTATTTTATTTATGTAAGTTTGCATCATTTTTATTCAAAAGGTAATAGTGCTTTCATACTAAGTGAAAGAGAAGTTGTTTCTGACTACCTCAGAGAAATCAAGGGAGAATTTTATTCTTAACCTTCATCTGATGACATAGCTTTTTAAAATATTAATTTGTATATCTATGTGGATTTGCTTTTGCATGTTATTTTACTAATAATGACAGTTCTGATATCAAAAAGTAATATCACTTGCTTATTTTTTATCCCACTTTATTCTAATAAAAATATTTTAAGCCATCTATTTTCTCCATTCCTACCACTATTATCTTGACTATAATTGCCTACTTTCTAGCTGCTCTATTGCCAGTCTTTATCTGGATGTTATTAAAGAATATAAATGCTCCATAGACCTCCATAGTCTCAACCAGAATATTTCAAGTTTCTTGGCTAAGATGAAGCAGATCTAGTGGTTTGGCTGTTAAGTAGCTCAAATTTGTTGTCAGAATGTATGAGTGGCTCTAAATTCATTATTTTAGTTGTTCCTGTGAGGTAGCATTTGAAAAATACCTTCAACTGTTAGTGGATTGTGGTCCTTGGGCACCAGATAGTGGATGCTGAGATGTATTGCAGAAAAGCTGATTAAAGTACTAGGATCTCTAAAAGTAAGAGCAGAAAGCCATCTGTAATACCCGCACCTGACTCAGTTGAGTGCAGTTATTATATATTTCCTTTTGAGATCTTTGCCGTATTATCAGTCTATCTGGGAAGGGATACCTTTTTTCAAAAAGTACCTGTTGATGAAAACATCAATAAGGTGTGCATGATGAGAAATTCATATAGGTAGACTGATTTGAACTTTGAGGATCGTAAATACTTTGTCGTTTTATTACCTAGCTTTATTGGAGTCCTGTATCACTGTGACTTAAATCTCAATAGTAGCTACTTGTAGTTCACAATGTTAATGTGTTTTTACTGTGTATCAGGGAATTTGTACTTACTCCAAAATACGAACTGTGTCAGAATATCTTTTATTTCCCTCTACCCATCCTTTATTCCTTTCCTCTCCTCTTTCCTCTCCTGCCACCTTCCTCCCCCAATGAAAACTTACTGAACTAGAGTATGGGAATATTCTCTCTATATAATCACAAAACTTCTAGATCTTTAAATATGCTTTGCACTCTCCTTGTTAAAATATTTCAATATTTTCTCATTGCTTTCAAAATAAAGCTCAAACTTCTTAAGTTAAAGAACCACTGGATTATTTGCCTCATCCTTACCCATTCCTTTCCAAGTATTCTTTCCTTCAGGTTTATAGAGTTGCCATTTCCCTTCTCATTTTTTCTTTTACTGTGGTTGCTTCCTACTTCCCTACTGATAATAACTTGTGGATCACCTGTTCTCCAAACCTCTGTTCAACTTTCCCCTCTTCCAGAAAATCCTCCTTAAACTACATCTACCTTACCTCTTACTAATCCCATTTAGATTAGCCAGTAAACTCTTGGCATTTCATGAGATTTTTTTCATATCTTACTGTAATCATAGTTTTACTTTAATAGAATAATATTCCTTGAGTGCAAAGATTGTAATGTCTTTTGTTTTTGAACCTGACATATAGACCTTTCTAATGAATGAATGATTTTATACACACTGGTATACACCACAATTCGGTTTACATAGAACTTGATTCTTTAGGCATTTGAGGGTATGGGTTGTGTCATTTCCTCACAAGGGTCTTTTAAAATTGACTTTGTAACTTCTGTATTTCTGTGTAAAATGTAAAACTTCTGTATTGTTACCGGAAACATTTAATAAGAGTAAATCTTTAGCTTTGAGTTTTATTGGCTAGAGAATATAATAATATGTAATTTTACACTGTCGCTTATTAAAGAAATCTGAAATACAATTTATGGGAAATTGGGGAAACCAATTCTATGACCATAAAATTGTGCATTCTAGTTTATTGATGCACTATATATTATTAAACCTGTGACTTTATTGGTATACAAGATCCCTAAGAAGAGGATAGATTTTTAAATTTTTCCTTATTTGAAAACATCTGATTGTAATTTTTTATTATAATTTTAACATAATCTTAATCTAAGAGGCAAGACAGAGTTAAAGGGAAAAAATATTTGCTAGTAATGGATTATAGAATTTAAATATGTGTTTGGTGATTCTGAGATAGCTTTATATTATGTTATAATATGAAATTTATAGTAATACAGAAACAGTGAAGTTCACATTTACAAGTAAAACTTTTTTAAGTTTAAATTTATTTCATATTGGAATTATAACTTTTTATTTAATCTAAAATGTTATATTTGTTTCCGTATAATGATTTGATAAGATACTTTATATAATTATTTCTTTAATGATATAGCAAACTGAGTCAGTGCATCATCGCTGAATCATAGTCCTGGCTGTCCTTTTTAGTCATTGAACGAACAAACACTATATTAAAATTCCTTTTCCTTCAGTTGTGCCTATGAAAAACTTGTTGGATCCCGAGTACCTCAAGAAATTTGTCATGGAAGATTTTTAATTACATTTCTGCTTTCAATCTGTGATTTATTTTGAAAATTCACTGTTAAAAAATAGAAGTAGGAAAAATTAACTACATCATGGTAACTGGATAACTCCTCATTCTCAGAGACCCCCAACCTCCTTTTAAAACATGTTTAAGGTTCATTGTTTATTAAAATTTGATGTTAAAATTGTGTAAGGTATAAAAGTTGAAGCGTGTTAGAGCACTGTCACCATTTAAGAATGTATTCCCTGTTTCGGTTTTGTAGCTCTGCCTCCAAGAGGTTCATAGCATTTGGTACGTAGTTCACGTATTTCTAATCTACAGACCTTCCCTATTGAGGCAGAGTCTTCAAGGTTCTGATATTTGCATTTCCACTACTATAAAGCTCAGTAATGTTAATTACTTTTTTAAAAAAAAACTTCCCATATTATTACAAATAAACCTGTTTTTGAAGACCAGAAATTTGTTCCTCTAAAGAGCCACGTTATTTTGCTTTTGTCTCAGAATGGATTATGCTTCACAAGTATACTGTGACAGCCTGAATAGAAAAGGGGGGAGGGGACATTGTCTTCAGCTGGCATGCTGTTATCAGAGGGAATGTGTTTCTGGACACGAGATTTAGCATTCATTGGTTGTCTGAAGAAAGCTATTTCATCTGAGGATTGGACAAGAAGCTGCGTCAATTTGCTGCCCGTCTCCAAGGCACTGGTGATGCTGCCTTCACAAGCTGGCTAACGTCACGGCTCCATCACCCAGCGGGGTGTGGACTCTCTTTTTCTGTTCTTCTCTATTTCATTCTCTATTTGCTGCCTACTGCATTTCTTAATCTGTCTTCTGCCAAATGCTAACAGCATGATATTTTGCAATCATCTAGGTGAATACAAGAAAGACGAACTCCTAGAAGCTGCTAGGTAAGCGATTCCATTCATTTTACGTGAGTATAATGCATTTAAGGGAGAGAAAGGGGAGGGCAGGTGAAGAACTATAAAAATTATAAAATGTTATTGTCTTGCTTGGATTTTGTGCAATAATGCAGATACAACCTTGTACCAAATACTTTATTTTACATGATGAATATATATATGTATATAGTGATAAAATCTTTCACTGTGGTGATGATTATAAGATGAATTTTATTTGAAACATTTCTAACCTACCTACAAACCTTAGTTGCCCAGCCTTTCAAATGTTATATTTGGAGTGTTTAAATACCTTTATCTTCATTTTCTTCTCAAGATTTCTCTACCAAAGCCTGAATGAGGGACATAAAGTAAATGTTAAATCCACATTTATTTTTTTGTTATTCCTGATAATTTATAATTTAATTGATTTACTCTTTATAGCATTTTTGATATATTTTTAAACTCCAGTGTTTTACACTATTTCTCAGAATAAAGTTTGTTTGTAATTAAGATGACTTTATGAAGGTAAATGAAATAAATTAAAATGTAGAAAACTATATTATCCAAGATACATCACTGTATGATTAACAGGTAATAGATAGAAATACACTAATTTAATTGAATATTGCAAAAGAAATTCATTGTATTCCATATGAAAGAAATGACAGCAAATCCTTATTATTTTCCACTCTCTTGTGAAAAAATATTCATACATATAAGCTATGATTTTATAAAAATTGACTTACTATGTTTTTATAGGAGTGGTAATGAAGAAAAACTAATGGCTTTACTGACTCCTCTAAATGTGAATTGCCATGCAAGTGATGGGCGAAAAGTAAGTTATTTAAAATAAAATTTTCAATAATTCCTTCTTGCTTTACAGCAAATTTTTTGAAGTGGGCATGTATATGTATGTATCTATATCTACATGCATGCACATATGATATATATGGCTCTATTTTTACCGGCATCTTTTCACTGTAAATTGAAATGCTGCTTTACCTGTTATTGGCAGTTGTGACATATTCATAAAGCTGGTGAAGCATGGATCTTAAGAAAGCTTTTTGTCTTAAATGTCAGATGCTGAAAGTTGTTGCACAGAACGGAAGCTTTGTTGGTAATTAAAATTAACATACTGTTTTCTGTATATGGCAATGGGAACTGAAAATATGTCCTATTTACTCACCTTTGTGATAATAATTACATTCTGATTTCTTATTTGGCAGTTTTATTTGCTAGATATCAGTATTTTTTCCATTAAAACTGAGATAATGTTCTCAATGCCTTCTTTTAGATCTGTGTAACAGCTCTACTTTGTAAAATTATTTTAATTGGCTAAGTTTTATTGTGGCATATTGAAAGAAAATAGATTAAGAGATTCTGCATTAGTATGCATTTGTCATAAATGTAAGGTAATATATAAAATACACAGCTGGCAGTATCATCTGCTCTGTGTTCTAGCTGAATACAGACTGAAATGTAATCCTTTATAGCTTGTGGTAATTGACTGCAAAGTTTTGCAATGATTTACCTAATAGACTGAAAAAACAAAGCATTCTGTACTGCTATAAACTAGCGAAGATTTACTTGATGCGATTACTTACTTCAGGGAGGTGTTTTTAAATGGTAGCTGCTCATTTCTCCTTCAGTTTTGGAGTTGCTTTGAGAATTTTAATACTCTAGTGTGTACTGAGCTTCCAATTTTATTTGGATCCTCTCAGATAAAATGACTTCTATCACTGTGCAGAAAAGGGCCTTCTTATTTGTTGTAAATGTAGCTATGGATTTAGATGAAATGTTTTAGAGCTAAACCTACTTCAGCTCTCCATACCCATTTATGTGAACTTAATGTAGCAGGAGTCAATTTCTGTCCAAGCCTCATTCCCCCATCCTTATGCTTGTACCCTGACAGGCCCATTTCTAGTGTAGAAAATCATAATTATTAAGGAACATAATTGCTGCCACCTAACAAGTTATCTCTTCTTTTTGCTTCATCCTCTCCATAAATGTATAGAACTCCATTATTTGTCCTTCCTCCCAAAGGAGAATACACTCACTTTCATATACCTGGAACCATTGTATTCATCATCCAAATTCTAAGTCTCCTTTTCTGTATTACTATATCCATTTGCCACAGACTCCATAAGTTCTAGTTATTCATATGTCTTTCCTTCTCCTATTCCCTTTGTATTTTGCATAGGACGAAGAGTGATACTTTGCATGTAGCAGCAGCTTAAGCTACGCTGCTGTTGTTCCTTGTTCCTTGACAAATATACTTTTATCCTCTGAGTAAGAAAATCATCTACACTCTTTGCCATTTAGAAATTTAAATCAGAAGTATGTCAATGGGATATTTTATATTGTTATTATTAGTATTATGTTATTAGTTTAATTCTGGGTCATTGTAACATGAGGGAGAACTGTGTATTTTAATGTGTAGAACATTTTTAAGAACATACTTCAGATATTACACTAAAGGACTCCTGACTTAGAAATAATGCAATAGTTTTCCAAATCTCCTTGTATACTTTTTTAGATTATCAGTTTTTTCAAATGAAATTACATACAAAAAGAAAATTAGGCCTAAGCATTTATTAGGTTTTAGTTTTATTCATATAATACAGGGAATCATTCACAAGTGCCATTAGTATGCAAAATACAAATAAAATTGCATAATTTAAGAATACACATATTTAGATTTTATTCTCATAGCACACACAGTAATTCTTAGTAAGTTTCAGTAAAGCCACAAAGTGGTAAACGTTTTCAGTGTTAGTGAAGATTGGGACAATATTTCTTAGTTATGATAGAATTTTTTGTTTTCCTACTAATAGTATCAAAAAACATCTAAGGAAATCTAGCTATCAAACTATAAGTCTCTGTTTCAAATATTTAGTATTTTTTTAAGGCCATTTGATATGTTTATGTAGAAATAGGAAATCTGATTATATATTAATGAGAGGATAAAGATATTTTTCCATATATTATGTTAGTCAAGTATATGTAAAGTTTCATTTCTTGACTGAATTTTAGAACACATTGCAGAATTAGATTCTTTTTTTTTTTTTTTTTTTTGTACCGGGTATCGAACTTGGGTCCTTGAGCTTGCAAGGCAGGCAGCAAAACCACTGAGCTAAATCCCCGGCCCAGAATTAGATTCTTTTTTGGAAGTTTTCTAGATGACTATTTTAATGCTTAACTGAGTCCTAGTTTTTACTAAAATTCTTGGTTTGTAACTTGACGAAGTCCATGAATATTGTTTTAGGATACGAAATGTTCTTTATGCAGTTCTCTAGGAGAATTTGCTTAGGGGTTTGAGGGTTTAAGGCTTTAGTATTCCTTTTTAATGTAATGCAAGGGATTATACAATAAGAGCACAAACTTTAAATAGACTTTTAATTCTGTGCTTTGACTTAGTGATCATCTAATTAGGTAATATGTGAGTGGTTAGTATTTTTATTTCCCACAGACATTATTTTTCTAACTTGTGGAATTCTGGAAATAGTGAAATGGCAGTACGATTTTGCATACTTTGTATTGTATTATGCTTTTACTTTTGTCAAACACAAAATTACAACAAATTGAAAAATCTTGATTGGCTTTTATTTATGATAAATGAATTGTACAATTCCTCATTTTATGAAACAGTGTTCTGCTGAGCTGAGCTCATCAGAGGGTTAACTTTATAGACAGAAAAGAGCTGAGGAAAGTAAAAGCAGAACAGAAAAGCAGGTTGATCATTTCAGAGTTACTTTTTTCTTATAAAAGTGGAAGCAGAGAGGACTTCCTTATCATGCCAGCTAGAATTGGCCTGTCTGGGGATTTGGCTGTCGCTGTCTCTTCTGATTTCTTGGAAGGTTAGATAAACAGCTTGGTTTCAGTTCGTTGGCATGGAAGTTCAGACTAAGCAACTTCATATGAGTTTGATCTGGTGGGACTTGTGCAGGAGCTCAGCCCAAACCAGTGCCTCTTAGAAATTTTGTTTACATGTAAATAAAAACTGAAGCTTGCCTATTCTAGAAAATCTCATTTTTTACCAAAAAATGCAAAGGCAGAAAAAAAATTTATATTTTGTTCTAAAATGCTACTTGCATGCAATTATATACACACTCTTAATCATGGCTACTTTAGAAACATAGGAACATTAAATACAATTTATCGTTTTAGCTCCTGCCCATAAGGTTAACCATTGCATTGTGCAATTCTTGTTTTTAAAATAAATTTTATTTTATTTTATCCCATTCCCCCCAAGTCTCCTCTCCTATGTTCATTGTACAGTTCTAATTGCAGTGAGAGACAATCAAAAACTTTAAAATAGATTGTTACCTCTCTAGAATACCTTATTCCTGTATTTTCATACTTACATTTCTGTACCTTTAATCTCTCTTTACAGTATTTTCTATGAGACTCCCGTGTTTTATTAACAGTTATCCAAATGTTCTGTCCTTATTTGCTAATTAAGGTGATAATATTCTTTTATTTTCCAGTATTAACTTTCATAAATATACCTTTCTATAATAAATGAAAATATTTCAGTGCATCTCATTTATTATAAGACTCCACCCTGTTAAGAGTTCTTTTTGTTGCTTCTTTTGTGTTATTCCTCCTTGTTGGTGTTCTTTATCCTCTTATAAATATCCTAAATTTATCCCCTCCTCATAACAAGAAATAGATGGGAATCAGGGATTACTATGCAGTTCTTAAATGGGAATGATATCCATCTTTGTGTACATCTCCTACACCTATTATTGCTTTGATTTTATGTCATCTGGGCCGGGGATTTAGCTCAGTGGTTCTGCCACCTGCCTCGCAAGCTCAAGGTCCCGAGTTTGATCTCTGGTACCCACCCCCCCCAAAAAATGTTGACTTTATGTCACCAAATATGGAAAATAACTAATATTTGATTATTGCTTTTTTATAAATTACTCAATGTAATTTCTGATATTTTAGGTTTCCTTTTGTTCTTTTCACTTACTCATTCACTTAAAACTCGAGCTACTCTTTATAGGTGATTGTATCATGGGAGATGAATATATGGATAATGATTCTTGTTCACAAGGAGCTCAAGAATTGATAGAACAATTAAGATGTTATCCAGGACATTGCAGATATTGTACTCAAAGCTTATGGTATTACTTTTGCTGTGATGTAGCTACAAAGTATGAGTTGGGGTGAGGTTTTTGTGGGGGTTTTGTCCAATACATTCGTATATAGATATGTATGCCATTCTGTCACAAATCATAAATTTAGATGAACAGAAAATTAGAGGAGCGTGATTGAATTCAGAAAAATTAACTGAAAGCTTGCTTTAAATGTCATTTTTACTGTGTAAATGTTTGCCTCCATTCAGTAGTTAATAAGGAATCTCTGGAAACAAAGAAAAGGTGTTTATAACCATTTTCTAATAGAAATCAATCAGCAATAATGTATTATACCTGGAGGACCCTGAAAAAAATTATGTGATATACTTGAAAAAGCAAATACTGGTCAGAGAGACTGAATTCTATTCTCGGCTCTTCCACTTTGTGTATGTGTGACTATGGCTCTAGAATTTTCAGTTTACTAATTAATAATTGGGAATAATCAGTACATTTCCCAATAATGAGGTCAGTGTGCCCAGTACAGTTTGTAGCACATAGTAAGAACTTCAGTGAATTACATCCCCATTCCTTTGACAAATTTTTTGAAGCTTTGCAACATATGTAGAATGGACACACATACACTCTAACATTTCCTACATCCCCACATAAAATGTTCTCATTATTCAAGCTCAGTCCCAGGTGCATCTGGATAAAATAAGTTATAGACTACCAGCTAATCAACAGAACATATATT